TAGAAGACTTTGTCAATGATTATATCAATATAGAGTTAATTCTCAAATTCAATAGAAATCTAGTGTTACTGTTCTCAATCTCTTACAGAATCTATTGAATATTGAGATATTAACACTAGATTTAATATATCTCACTATACAGAGATTAAAGACTCAGTTAGATCTTAAAGTATACTGAATTTATAGTTGATAATATACTGTTAACTTGTTCTGTTGACTTGTTATCTGTCAGGTCACGTGATCTGGCTTACTAATCCTTTCATCATATAACTTTTCACAAGCTAGCAATCTTTCAATCACACAAGCTTTACATCTTTCACAGGTTATGAGACCTGTTTTGTGCAAAATCACTGCCAATTCGGGATTTCTTTGTCAATATAATCATTGTTGAACTACTGCTTCATTCAATACACTCATCAGAAGTTAAAATCGTCTTATTCTATCAGTATTGATGTATTTGAGATCTTGATGATCAATAATACTACTGCTCACTTAAAAAAAAGAGGCTTGCAGAAAACGCATCACATTTGCAAAAAAAAAGCAAGAAAAGAGAACAATATTGGCAAGGATTTAATAAATGAATATCAAGATGATGAATTCAATATGATCCCGCTCACATACACATTCGCGATCTCGTGTCCTTTTCACTGAATCAGTTGCAGTTGATGATGATGATGATGATTCTTCACACTCATGCTCTGCCAGTGAACATTCTTCTGAAGCCTTTGAAAGCTTCATTGATAAATGCTCTGCAACACTCTCTCAATTCAAAGCTGGTTTGAATACAGTCTCTGACACAGTCAGGCCGGCTCTTCAATCTACTTAACAGCTTGATGAAGCTGGTTCTCTTGATAAGAATATTGAACACTCAGATGTCTACTGTTCAGATGAGGCAATATCAGATCAACAGATAAAGCATCTCAAGATAATACTTGAGATGAACAAGAAGAAGCAAAGAGTTCTAGAACTTGAACTATAACTGAAAAAACTCTGTCAACAGAGATTCTCATTCTCTACAGATCAATTACAGAATATTAATAATTATTCTATCATTACATTAACAGTCTGTACAGTCACATGAAATCCTAATCTCAGTGAAAGATTGAAATTCAATCTTTATAAACTGAATAGCTGTGTTGACAAGGCAATCTCTCAATTCAAGAAAGATGTTAAGAATACTGTGAGATTAAACAGTCTAACTGATACATTCAATTACATCACATGAAGCATCTTCATGAAATTAAAACTGATTAATACACAGTGTTAATATATGATAGAGAAATGACAGACTCAGAACTCTCTACAAAGAGATGATGAATGAGTATTATTCTGAGATGTCAGAAACTGATGACTCTACACATTCATCTCAAACTTCTTGAGTGCAGGTGTCAGATCATGTTTCTTCAAGTATGATGAAAATTGAATCACTTATACTCTATGAAATGCAATTGAACAGGAATACTCTGTTCTTAAAACACAGTTACACTGTGAGACAGTTCTGGAATTCATGTCTCTTAATGACACACAGGTCATCAATCTACATATATTCTTTGATAAGTTTCAGTTCATCATCATGAAATTGAAGATATTGAATACTTTCTCTTCAGATGCATGAATATTTGATATCTTCTACTCAGTTCTATCTAACAATTGAAGAAATTATGTTCAGAAGAAGATAGAGAAGATACAGGATTTCAAATTCACAGCTGTAATATTGAATGTTGATCTTCTCATGAAGAAAATCTGTTCACAGCTTGATTCTTCAAAAGATAAAAAGAACCTGCAGAATATAGATTCTGCGGTTAACTCAGCTATAACAGCTACAACAGCTACAACAGCTACAACAGCCACAACAACTATCAGCAACAATACATTGAATTCAGCCTGTGAAGGCTGTACTGAATGTAATTGTGACAGTTCACAAGAGAGCTTCTGAAATCATTGAGAATTGAGAAATTCATCTACATGTTCTGAATGTGAGAGATCTCACTTTGACAACTGTTGATTGATCAATTCAGACAGTGCTTCAGATAATTGAAGAATCTACAACACTGCAAGGATAAAGAAATTCAAAGAAAAGAAGGAAAAGAACAATAGTGAAAGTGAGACTTAACTATTCATTACAGATGGATCAGAGACCTATTAGATAACAAATCTCACAGAGATTATCAATGTGCCAGCCTGTTACAAGAATCCCTTCAACGGGCGTTTATACATATCAAAGAACATCATCTTTCAGAAGAACCTTCATCTTGCCAATTCATCAATACTGACTACTTCACACAACTCGAAGGTCCTACTCAATGCGGCCTGTAAAGCCGTACTAAAGCGGCTGCAGCTATTTCTTCAGAGACACCAGGCCTACTCACTGCGGCCTGTCAAGAGACTGCAGTGATTCCTGATTCATCAATTGATAATCTATTCATTGATGAGGAAATTCGACCTGAGTGTTCATTATTTCTCATACTCACTAATAATTGGTGGATTGACTATGATATCTCCGCGAGAATATCTACTCTTTTAGTGCAGAATACACTGAACTCCTCAGAACTCATAGTTGAATCTGATGATTCTTCAACATCTACAAGGGATATCACTATAGTGAGGGAATCAACAGTGAGGGAATCTTCAGTGAAGAACAGTCTTGAAGACCTACTCACTGATTCTGAGATTACTGCACTTCTGATTCTGAAAAACCTCACGCGCGTCAAAGCTTCCATGAAATGAAAGTATTATTACAAGGCCTGTGTTAAAGAGGTCAACTGTTTGAAATATACATGTTGTAAAGAGAATATAAAGAAGATAGAGAGACAGAGGAATAAAAAATGATGTATATCATGACTGATTTTTCATTGCTACACATTTTCCAGTCATTTTTTGTACCTGTACTTGATTTGAAGGCGAATTTTGTATATAGCATCGTGTATAGTTACTCTGGTGAGTGAGGGTGTCAGGTCACGTGATCTGGCTTACTAATCCTTTCATCATATAACTTTTCACAAGCTAGTAATCTTTCAATCACACAAGCTTTACACCTTCCACATTATCTGCATGTATTGAATACTGTTACTGAGGTATCTTTTTGTATTATTCTGTCAGAGATGAGTCAGATTGAGAGAAGTGATATAAAAGTGAGACTTGATATTAATGTCTAGATACACTGAAGACAGATCACAGAGATTGCACTTCAGAAGTATCTGTTAATTATATACTTGATATTATCACTGAGATATCTTTTTGTATTTTTCTGCTGAAGATGAGTCAGATTGAGAAGGGTGATATGAGAGTGAGACTTGGTGTTAATGTTTTGAAATATCAAAGATGAACAGGGTTTTCACAGAGATTGCTTCTCAGATATCTTCACAATTACAGCTTGAGAATCTTTCAAAATCAAGGAGATTGGTGCATATGGCTAGGTCTCTTCACCTTACAATTTGTATGGCAATCTGGCCCGGGGTTGTGGTGTGATAGGGGAGAATGGGGGATAATCCTACACAGGAGTTTTGAACAATATCTGATTCACATTTGGCTGGATAACTCCACCACCACACGGGGTATGCGGTCGGCGATGGGGTCAAAATGCTCGTATGATCGAGGGCTTTTCGATGGATCTATCGGCGGGTTCTTATTCGAAAAATCGAGCGAGTTCGTGGTGGAGCGGTTGGTTGATCATTATGACTATATTCTCTTTTCTTTTGTCATGATATTATCAAATGATTTCAAAGTATCAGAAGGTGTTAAAATACTGTAATTTGTAAACAGTTTTTATATGATACTTAATTATTCAATGAAAGCTCTGTTACATTCTTTACTTTTAAAGATTATTTTAATAAGCTTTTTAAATTGACAAGTTATATATATAGCAGATTTCTCAAAATAGTTATTCTTCATAATAGTTTATAGAGGATAAGATGATAATTTAAACTTCTTAAGTATTATAAAATGAGTCTTGATCTGCAGAGTAATTGTAGATCACATGTAATTATATAATTAAAAATTGTAGTCTTTTCAGAAATGATATATATTCATGATAATATTTTTATTAAGACTATTATCTTTAAGAATATTATCAGTTTTAGACTACTCTGCAGTTAAAAGATTTTTCTCTCTTCACATTCAGTAGTTAATGAATTCAGTGAGAATCATCAGTTCTTTGATAAGTCTTACTTAGCTTCTGAATACTTTAAGAACTTTTATTATAATAGATATTTTCTCTTTCTATTAAAGATACTCTGTTGAATCTGCTCTTACATTATTTTCTGCAAGAGTCTTACTTCTACTGATCTTCATCTACTCAATCTCATACTAAAGTCTGGTAATTTCTAGTCTTATACAAATCTTCTTACTTACAGAGCTATTATTATTTCAGTTATTTAAGCTCTCTGTATTATCTGACATCTCACTGATATCTTCAGCAGAGTCTTTATATTTGTAATTGAACTTATTAAACTATTCTTTTATAATTGTATCATTTATCTTATAAGTCTCTGAAGTAGTTTCTTTTCAGTTTATTATAGATATTAATAATAATCTATAATTCTGTATCTACTATTCTGATATTTTCTCATTTCTCTATTTTGAAAATATATATTCTTTTATTAAGTCAGATATTCTTCTGAATCTTAGATTAATTATTGATTCAATCACTTAATAAATCATCTAGACACACTTGTAATGATATATAAAGATGTTAATTTTACATATTATTATAGTTATTAAAGCTTGTAAAAAGCTTTATAATCTCTTGAAGAATAATATTATTATATATTATAATTTAACTACGCGAGTTATACTAAATAAGTTAAAGTAACACGTGACTAGAGTAGATGTAGTAATTATTAATAAGAGACAGTGTTAATAATTACTATATTTACTTATCTTATGTATTATCTTAATCTATTTAGTGTAACTCACGTAGTTAGATTATAATATAATAATGTTATTCTTTAAGAAATAATATATATACTGTATAATAAAACTTATAACTGAACTGAATTGATAAATTTAATCTTCTGAATTTCTCTAATTATTGTAAATCACTGAAATGTGAATTAAAGTGTTTTATTTCAGATTATATCTCAATAGCTTTAATAAGAACATTTTACAGCTATGAAAATAGTGAGTTAGTTTGTCACAGAGTGAAGATTGAAAGCATAGAAGTAAATGAGAAAAGTTTAAATATAAAGAAAAGAAAGAATATAACTGAGTTAAATAAAGTGAAATTTTATATAGAAATCAGTAGAAATTATCTCAGATAAAAAGAAATATTGAAACATAATTAGAACTTCAGTCATTCAAAGAATAGTTACTGCGTTTTTCATAGCTATGTTTTTAGTGACTGTTATTGTTGATTTTGTAAACTAGAGTGTCTGAGAGGCTGTTCACCATATATGTTGATTTCAAAGGTTCAAGGTCAAGCCTTTTGCATGTAAGATAACCTAGAGCAATTAGAATTCACGGTAATAAGCAGTCCAGTATTCACTTGAAGTACTAGTCTTTTCATTTCGGTTCGTCGGTCTTTTTTCTCATTGGAGAGGAGAGTCGGGTTATAATATATTGGCCAACAGTGAGAGTTACTTAGGAGAAGTCCTCCGCAATGTCTGCGCCAGGGTTCTGCGTTGCCAAATAAGCCTTAACAGGCTCTGTATCCAATAGTTGTAGTTTCTGTCAACAAACAAAATCAAGAATCACAATTTTACGGCAAAGTTCATCAGTTAGCCAGCCTGGAACACATTATTGATAACATGATGTGTCATTCATTGAGCAAAAAAGAATCTGCGGGGGAGAGGTAATGGTGAGGCCAGGAAAATGGTCGGTACCTTTGCTTCTATATCACGAAGCCCAGCTTCCAAGAGCTCTCCCTCCAATTCTCTGAGTTTAAGAGTTGTTTGCCATACAGACCGGCGAATCACCTTTTCGTCGACATATTCAAGCCATTGTTGCACATATTCGTCCCTCGCATGCAGCTGAAGAAGTTGACTCTCCATGCGGTCCTGTATCGTTACAACCGCCCGAAGCTGAAAGACCTCCCACATAGGTTTCATTTTGAGGTGGTCGAGCAATGACCCGGACGAGCTTAGGCTAGATCCTTTCCATGAAACCTTGAGCTCCCGCTCTCCTTGGTTTGACTGAATGACGCGGAACTCTAGGCCGTCCTCTTCGTTTACGCAACACCACCAGACAAATGAGCTTTCCCAATCAGTCGTGTCAGAACCGGGAGGTATGAAAAGGCGGAATCCAGGGGCGACGTCACAGACAGCTTTTTTCGCGGGCGCTAGTGGGTCACTAGCCGGGATATCGAGGTCAAGGAACAGCTGGTGTGCGTTCGTCAGGTTGCTTTCAATAAATCCGTAGGAGAATATCATCTCGGCAGCACCCTTTTCGTCACCATATCTACAGTTTTGTCTTCGAAGTTAGCCCAGTTCTAGACTTAATTAGATTTCTTGCCCACCACCGCATAAGAAGGATCCGGGGTCGATGCCAAAGTGAATTGCCATCAAGCTCTTGCATACGTGATGGTTACTTCGTCGCCCACGTCCAAACTCTGTCCCCATCCCAACTGCAAAACAGCGTTTCCATTTGCATCGGTCTCATACAACGCGCCGGTCTGGATACCCGACGTGTGGTTTGCCATATCCACACAGGGAACCATAGAATGCCCCTTGCCGGGAAATTCCAGGGCTCGCGATCTATACATGGCGTCGACTAACTTCCAATCCTCGAAGGCAAGCCGGCCTGTATCCTCGTTCCACCAATCACGACTGCACCAGGGGATATCCATCGTAGCTTCACGTAACTGCTCAAATTCTTTCTCTAGCGAAGCCAATTTCAAGTCCAGAGCTAGTTCCAGTGAAGTGCCATGTAGAAGCTCACGCTCCTCGATGGTGTACCAAGTTGGCAAAGAGTATGACGCCGGAAGAAATTTTATGTACTCTGTCCATGCGTTGGATATTTTAATGTGTTCCCTGGACGATAAGTCTGGATCCGAATATGAAATGTGCACCAGGAGGAAAATTAATATGGCACCTCGGGCTGTCTGCAGATATTAGCAATAAATATACGCCTATTACGAAGTTATGGCATAAAAAGATGATCATGATGAGGAATACACACCCTTGCGAACTCCCCCATAGCATCCAAGATCTCCTTCAAACGCCTGTCGGCTTTGGCACAGGTTTCCACTAACTCTAGTGAAAGCACTAGATCAGACGGAATAGTCATCAATATTTCTGGCTCAGCTGGAGTTTCTGGATCGAACTCTGGGGCTGATTTCTTTGCAGTCGCAACAACCGAACACCCCTTGTCAACTCCAGCTTCAGTCTGTAATTGCGTGACCTCAACGCCGTGGAATTGGACGCTGTTAAGTCTAGCCCATGCCGCAAGAGCATCGATGGGGGGGTTCTCTCGCCTCATTGGAAATAAGAAGTATTCTTTGACTCGGTTATGTTGTAATTTATTGAGCTGCAAGAGGTTGCGCAGATATTCCGCCGCGGCTAACGCTAAGAGCGAGCGCTTGAAGTCAGGTGACCAAATGTAGCATCGTCCGCCCCAGTGGCGTTGCCACGCGGTTGATCGGCCCTTCTACCAGCAGGCGCTGGTGGTGATCAAGCTCTTTTGTCCCAGTAGCCTACAGGTTATGAGACTGTTAAGCATGAGCCCTGCTATGATCAACATACATAAGTTCAATTTCAGAATAGACTTAAAAATTTCTAATAAATACTCTGAATATTTTAACAGTGTTAAGAGACATCTCAGAAGTATACTCTAGAAGTCTCTTCAGCTCTAGAACTAACTGAGTTCACTAAGAGAAGTCACTGTAAAGAGAAAAGTCACTGAGAGAAAGTACTGTACTCTGTAATAATTAGACTGACTGTGTGACCGTGTCTGAGATCAGAATCAGAATTTTTGATAGTTTCATTACTAATTGTACAAATCGCTTCAATGAATTGCTCTATATTCCTGGGCTGGAAAGTTATTATTGCATGTATCTAATTATCACTTCTTTGTATTTTCCTATGTTCTTGTTATCTTGGCATGGTCTCAACACCTGTATTTCCTTCTGTATAATTAACACTTGATCTGTATTTAACATCATGCAAGAACTCATCATAAGCTTCGCTTGCATATGAGTATAATGAAAGAATAATAATAATAATAATAATCAACAGATTTCATTTCACAGTTCTAACATTAAATAGTAGTTTTATACTGTCTCAGTGAGACTTACTATCTACTCTTATCATATTTTTCAAATGAGATTATAATTTTCACTTCTCAATTTAAATTATTTTTATTACTTTAAATGACTTTAAATTTCATTTAAGTATTATCAAAAAGTGTTACTTTTTAAAAAATTAAAAATAGTCTAAAAGAAACCTTAAAATGTCTAAAAATAGTAACTTTATACTAAGAATAGAACTAAATGAGATTAAATGCAATCACTTTCTTATTTTTTTCAAGTTATAATTTCATTTTGAGATCTGATATATAGTCACTTTGTCTGTTTTTTTAATGATTAGTCTCAGCAGAATTCATGTCAAGAAATGTATAAGATCAGATTAAATGAGATTAAATATAAAATTAATAATTCTGATAATCAGTCTAGTAATAATTAATCTGAAAGAGAGTATTAAAAGTTCTGTAATTAATCAGCTCTTCTATCAGTAGATACTGATAATAATTATACTTTTTTATTTTAGTAGTTTACAGTGATTACTGTATCTACACATAGTCTTATATATAATATAAATGTAGCTAACTTCTCTTATATAAATATAATAGATTAATTATCTCACAGATTATAGTCTAAATAGCATGTTTTTATAAAGAATTATATTATTTTTTTTATTTTTTTACTTTTATTTAAAAATATCTATATAAGTATTGCTAGACTGACCGTGTAACCGTGTCTGAGACCAGGACCAGAATTTTTGATAGTCTCATTGCCAATTCAACAGATCTCATTACACAGTTCTAACATTAGATAGTAGTCTTATACTGTTTCAGTGAGACTTACTGTCTACTCTTATCACATTTTTCAAATAAGATCATGATTTTCACTTCTCAATTTAAATTATTTTTATTACTTTAAATGACTTTAAATCTCATTTAAGCATTATCAAAAAGCATTACTTTTTAAAAAATTAAAAATAGTCTAAAAAAAACCTTAAAATGTCTAAAAATAGTAACTTTATACTAAGAATGAGACTAAATGAAATCAAATGAGATCACTTTCTCATTTGTTTCAAGTCATAGTTTCATTTTGAGATCTGATATATAGTCACTTTGCATGTTTATTTAATGATTAGTCCCAGCGGGATTCATGCCAAGAAATGTATGAGACCAGACCAAATGAGATCAAATATGAAATTTATGATCTCAGCGGTCAGTCTAAGTATTGCATGAGTTTGCTCTTAATAGAAGAATTCTGTAGCAGACTGTACTTAATTAATAGATTGTTTTATTACACTTTATAAATTTCTGTTAAAAGCTGTAATTCTCAGTTATTAATTCTTAGCTGAGAAACTTATAAATTTTCTATTCTTCTACTCTAAAGCTTTATCTTGTATATATATAAATATTTACTCTGATTACTGATTCTTATACTTTCTCTTTTTTTTTCTTCTTTAATATTTTTTACTTTTATTATATATAATCTATATCTTAATACTAATTCATATAGTGTAAGCTTATTATACTTATATCATATCTCTGACTGTGTTAAAACTCTGTTGCGGTTTCACACGTCTCATTACTTCTCTGTAGATAATTTCATTCATCTCACACACTGTTCAAACTAGTTTTCAATAACTCTATGACATTATTTAAATATATTATAGAAAGATTTAATTAATGAATATGAGAATCTAACTTCTATACAAGATCAGTAGATTACTCTTTCATAATAGTAAGATACTACTGAGATATCACTTCAGCTATTCTTACTTATAAAATGAGAGAAGAGTATTCACTTATTATCTATATAGAATTGTCAGGTCACGTGATCTGGCTTACTAATCCTTCCACTATATAACTTTTCACAAAGCTAGCAACCTTTCAATCACACAAGCTTTACATCTTTCACAGGTTATGAGACCTGTTTTGCATAAAATCACTGTCAATTCGGGATTTCTTGTCAATATAATCATTATTTGAACTACTGCTTCATTCAATACACTCTTCAGAAGTTAAAATTGTCTTATTCTATCAGTATTGATGCATTTGAGATCTTGATAATCAATAATACTACTACTCATTTAAAAAAGAGGCTTGCAGAAAACACATCACATTTGCAAAAAAGCAAGAAAAGAGAATAATATTGACAACAATTCAATAAATGAATACAAAGATGGCGGATTCAACACAATTTCACTCTCATACATGTTCACAATCTCACATTCTTTTCACTGAGTCAGTTGCAGTTGATAATGATGATTCTTCACACTTATACTTTGTCAGTAAACATTCTTCTGAAGCCTTTGAAAGCTTCATTGATAAATGCCTCACAACACTCTCTTGATTCAAAGCTGGTTTGAATACAGCTTCTGACATGATCAGGCCGGCCCTCTGATCTACTTGATAGCTTGATGCTGATTCTCTTGATAAGAATGATGAATATTCAGATGTCTACTGTTCAGATGAGGTAATATCAGATCAACAGATGAAGCATCTCAAGATGATACTTGAGATGAATAAGAGAAAGTAAAAAGTTCTAGAACTCAAACTATAACTGAAAAAACTTCATCAACAGAGATTCTCATTCTCTATAAATTGATCACAGAATGTTAATAATCATTCTGTCATCATATTAACAGTCTGTACAGTCACATGAAATTCTAATCTCAGTGAAAGGTTGAAATTCAATCTTTATAAATCAGATAGCTGTGTTGATAAGATAATCTCTCAATTCAAGAAAGATATCAAGAATACTGTGAGATCAAACAGTCTAACTGATATATTCAATTACATTATATAAAGCATCTTCATGAAATTGAAACTGATTGATGCACAGTGTTGATATATAATAGAGAAATGACAGACTCAGAATTCTCTATAAAGAGATGATGAATGAGCATCATTCTGAAACATCAGAAACTGATGACTCTACACATTCATCTCAAACTTCTTGAATGCAGGTGTCAGATCATGTTTCTTCAAATATGATAAAAATTGAATTGCTTATACTCTATGAAATGCAATTGAATAGAAATACTCTGTTCTCAAAACACAGTTACACTGTGAGACAGTTCTGAAATTCATGTCTCTTGATGACACACAGATCATCAATCTACACACATTCTTTGATAAGTTCTGATTCATCATCATGAAATTGAAGATGATGAATACTTTCTTCTCAGATGTATGAATATTTGATATCTTCTACTCAGTTCTACTCAACAATTGAAGAAATTATGTTCAGAAGAAGATAGAGAAGATACAGGATTTCAAATTCACAGCTGTGATATTGAATGTTGATCTTCTCATGAAGGAAATCTGTTCGCGGCTTGATTCTTCAAAAAATAAAAAGAATCTGCAGAATATAGATTCTGCAGTCAACACAGCTACAACAGCTACAACAGCCACAACAACTATTAACAATAATACATTGAATTCGGCCTGTGAAGACTGTACTGAATGTGATCATGATAGTACTCAAGAGAGCTTCTGAAATCATCAGGAATTGAGAAATCCATCTACATGTTCTGATTGTGAGAGATCTCACTTTGACATCTGTTGATTGATCAATTCAGACAGTGCTTCAGATAATTGAAGGATAAACAATACTGTGAGAATAAAGGAATTCAAGGAAAAGAAGAAAAAGAACAATAGTGAGAGTAGAACTCAACTATTCATTACAGATGGATCAGACACCTATCAGATGACAAACCTTGCAGAGGTTATCAATGTATCAGCCTGTTTCATGAAACCTCACAAGAATCCTCTCACTATATAGAATAGTGGCGCTAGATGCTACATAGTGAGTGATAGATCATGATTTTCAGAACTTATAGCAATCAATGATTCAACAGTTCAAGTGGTCAACAAGGTCATTATAAAGATTCAGAGTGTCAGCACTGCATTCATCTCAGTGAGTGAAAGATTGATAGAATTCAATCATGTATACTATGTGTCAGAACTATCTGCAAATCTGATCTCTGCTGAGCTTATGAAATATCAGGGCTATATTTACTGTGATCTGCAAGTTGATGCTGAGAACTACTTTGAGTTTCTGTCATCTATCAACAGTGATATCTTCTATACTAATCTGTCTCACAATAATATTTACATTCTATCTGACAGCTCACCGACATTTCATGGGGTAATGAATGACTCAATGTATGAAGCAGTGGCATATGTAGCTGTTCCAAAACTAAAGACAATCTCAACAGACTACAATTCAAATGCAGGGTCTTTGAGACCTTTCAGCTGTGAGGAGATTGAACAGTTAATCAATTCTAAGAATTCAGATACTGATTTCTTTGTTATCTCATCTTCATCTCAATTATCTGCAGTCCTTTCAAAACAGCTACTGATAGATGAGTGACATCACTGACTTACTCATATCAGTGAAAACAGTATATTAAAAATGACCAGAGACCTGTGATTTGATATTATCATTATCAGCCTGAATAAATTATCATTCTGTGTCATATATGTTAAGACTAAACAGAAACACACTTTCTACAAGGATTTCACACCACATCATGCCACCCGCAAGGCCTTGAAGATTTGAGTGGATATATTCAGTGATGATGAGACTCTTGAAACTGAGAATGATATATCATCTTACACTGATAAGAAGCTTGCAATGGTGATAACAGATGATGTCACTCATATGAAATGAATATTTCTATTGAAATGCAAGGATGATATGTTGAGATATCTACAGATCTTCAATCAATTCATCAAGAATCTGCTGAGATGTGGCATTGCAATCATTCACTCAGATCATGGAGAATTGAATTCAAATGTAGCCACAGTATACATGCTTAGTGAAGATATAAAATGAGAGTTAACTCCCTCTCATACTTCACAGCAAGATGAAGTATTTAAACAATTGATTGATTTGATCATTGAGAAGTTCTGATCACTATTAATAGACTCTTCAGCTTCAGAAAAGATGTGAAATGAGACAGTTATTACAGTCATAGAGCTGCTTAACCTTATGTCAATCTCAACTAGACTGACCGTGTGACCGTGTCTGAGACCAGGACCAGATTTTTTGATAGTCTCATTACCAATTCGACTGATCTCATTACACAGTTTTAACATTAGATAGTGGTTTCATACTGTTTCAGTGAGACTTACTGTCTACTCTTGTCACATTTTCCAAATGAGATCATGATTTTCACTTCTCAATTTAAATTATTTTTATTGCTTTAAATGACTTTAAATCTCATTTGAGTGTTACTAAAAAGTGTTACTTTTTAAAAAATTAAAAATAGTCTAAAAAAACCTTAAAATATCTAAAAATAGTAACTTTATGTCAAGAATGAGACTAAATGAGATCAAATGAGACCACTTTCTCATTTTTTTCAAGTCATGGTTTCATTTTAAGATCTGATATATAGTCACTTTACATGTTTTTTTGATAGCCAGTCCCAGCGGGATTCACGCCAAGAAATGTATGAGACCAGACCAAATGGAATTAAACATGAAATTCATGGTCCCGGCGGCCAGTCTAATCTCAACAATATTGTATGAGAGCCCTGAAAATACAAAGCTGATTACACTGTATGAGGCCTGGCTTGAAGCTCTACTCTCTGCACGCGGCATTCACTGATGAGGTTGCAAAGCATTCTTGAAGATAGTTTCCAAGCTCATCAATAAGATGGCTTCCTGTTCCAAAGAGTTGATTTTTGTGAAATATGATGATTTTATCAATTATAGATTGATGAACCCCTTCAACAGGCATTTATACATATTAAAAGACATCATCTTTCAGAAGGATCTCTATCTTGCTGATTCATTGATACCGATAATGCACAACCTGAAGGTTCTACTCAATGCAGCTTGAAAAGCGGCTGCGGCGATTTCTTCAGCAACACCAGGTCTACTCACTGCAGTCTGTCAAGAGACTGCAGCAATTCCTGATTCATCAATTGATAATCTGTTCATTGATGAGGAAATTCAACCTGAGTGTTCATTATTTCTCATACTCACTAATAATTGATGGATTGACTATGATATCTCTGCGAGAATGTCTATCTTTTTAGTGCAGAATACACTGAACTTCTCAGAACTCACAGTTGAATTGAATGATTCTCTGACATCTACAAGAGAAATCACTACAGTGAGGGAAGCTTCAGTGAAGAACAGTCTTGAAGATCTACTCATCAATTCTGAGATCACTGCACTTTCAATTCTGAAAAACCTCACACACATCAAAGCTTCCATGAAATGAAAGTATTATTATAAGACCTGTGTTAAAGAGATCAATCATTTGAAACAGATAGAGGTCTGATGACTGATTGAGAGAATATCACAAATAAGTGTTCTTCACAGTCAATGAGTATTTGACAAAAAGTTCAACAATATGAGTGATGTTATCTGCTATAAGGCTCACTGAGTTATCTGCAGAAATCTTCAACAGAAGAGAGTCAATTACTCAAGAATCTTTGCATCTGTTATCTCTGTATTCATCTCATAAGCTCTTATGACAATCTCAGCATTCTGAGAATGATATGTTCTGCAGATTGATATGATGATCACTTTTTTGAACACTCAACTGCCTGCTGATGAATGAATATATATAAATCAACTCACAGAATTCTGCAAAAACTGTGATGATCTTGTGTGTAAGTTGATGCAGAGACTCTACAGTCTTAAGCAAGCAGCACTCTTATGATATGAGAAGCTGTAAAAGATGCTATTGCACTCAGGCTTCTGTGTCAGTCTCTATGATGCTAGACTATTTATTCACAATGAAAGACAGGTCTATATAATCATCTATGTGAATGATGTTCATCTCTACAGTCTGAAAATTGAAGATCTGAACTGGGTCAAAGCTGAAATCACTGCTAATTACAAGATCAAGAATGTAGAGAATTTCAATCACTATCTAGAAATGAAGATTGATAGAGATTTAACTTCATTGACATTATCTCAATCTCTCTTTATAAGAAATCTTCTGAAGAAGTTCTCAATAAATGACTGTCATTCTACATTCACTTCTATGAAGAAGAATGTCAATTTCATGAATAATGATGAGAAACTGATTACATACACAGTAGAATTTATCCTACAGTTCTATTAATTCAGTATCAGATCTCTGCAATATCTGACATTCAATACATGTCCTGATATGAGCTTCACTGCAGAATTCCTTGAACAATTCAGCTCTCAGTCTATATCAAAGAACTGGGCTGCATACAAGTGTACACTCTGATATCTACAGGGTTCAATCAATGAGGGTATAATCTATCACAGAGATGCCGAAATTGAACCTGTAGCATACACAGATGCCGATTGAGCCGGTAGGAATTCAGGATCCCGTTCAACCACCGGTTATATCATCTACATGGCAGGTGGTCCCGTTGCATGGCAGAGCTGCCGGCAAACAGGGGTCTTCAAGTCATTAACAGAGGCTGAATATATTGCATTCTCTGAGGCTGTATATGAGCTTGTCTGTCTCTGAGAGCTTCTAGAAGACGCTGAATTCATCCCATCCTGCCTCAACAATCTGGATGCTGATGCTCACCCCATTCCCACCACAGTCAATGGTCTGGCTTATACAATTCATGCTGATAATAAGTCTGTCATAGAGCTATTCTCTTCTGAAGCAATTTCATGCTGCTTGAAGTATATAGAGGTCTGTTTTCACATCCTTCAGAATCTTGTTCACAAGAATGAGATATCTATCTGATATGTTTCATCTGCTGAGAATGCAGTGGATGAGCTTACTAAATCACTTGAAACATTGAAATATACACATTGGAAAGAGAATATAAAGAAGATAGAGAGATAGAGGGATAAAAAATGATGTATATCATGACTGATTTTTCATTACTTCACATTTTCCAGTCATTTTTTATACCTGTACTTGATTTGAAGGTGAATTTTGTATATAGCATTGTGTATAGTTACTCTGATGAGTGAGGGTGTCAGGTCACATGATCTGGCTTACTAATCCTTCCATCATATAACTTTTCACAAAGCTAGCAATCTTTCAATCACACAAGCTTTACACCTTTCACAAGAATAGCTAGATACTGACTTCTTATTCAAGAAGTCAGTGATTTATTTTCTTCTACTGAAATATATACAAGAGTTACTATATTTCTTATATAATTTTCTTAGTATACTAAGTATCATATCTGTGATATTCTCATAATAACTCTGTAGCTCATGAACTCACTATTTAAGCAAGATAGTTAAGCTTACTTATACAGCTTCTTAAACAACTATCTCTATATAATACTGTTAACTAGTCACTACTTTAGTTCTGTTATATTGCAATTTGAATCACTTAATCTGAGTATAAGTTTAAATCAGTTGAGCTCTATTAACAGACTGATATAATCTTATATACTCATGCTGAGACTGACCTGATCTCATTCTTTAAGAAAAACTTCATATTATTCTCTAGAGTATATATATCTTTATCTTAGCAGAAGTCTCAGATTTCTGAACTCACTGTATACTTTAACATAGACTTTTTAATTACTCTGTTATTACTGCAGCCTCTACACATCTACATCTATTATGAAGATAGAGAGATTAAGATCAGAGATTCTTTAAGTTATAAGAGAAACACATTGTCTGAATTTTATAACTTTATCTGTATTCTTGAATAGAAATTCTGTCTTAATCTGAGTCAGTTTAATACTTATAAGATATGAGTAATATACACTGTCAATCTTCTTAAAAGCATCTCTGCAACTACTTAAGCTATTAAGAAGAGAAAGCTTAAGCATATTAATACTGTTATAAGTTAAGAAGAATTCAAAGACTTTCTACTGAATCAGATTAAAGATCACTGCAATCACAGCTTCACAGTGATACAGTAGTTCAACTGATTATATTAATAAGATAATTAGAATTCTTCTGATTTTAATACAAGATTTGAATAATATTCAGAGAAATTAATCAATAATTTGAATTAATTAATAACATAGCTTTATCTTATAAAGCTGACTTATAAGATACAGACAATAATATCACAGTATCAGAGTTTGTTAATTATTCACACTGAGCTTATTAACTTGACTTCTCAGATCTATTTGAATAATTAATACTTTAAGAATAAGATTAATAAGATCTCTTCTAAGTAATTAATAATAAAATTTAAACAGTACTGTGACAGCTTCAGTGTAGAGAATGTAAAGAAGAATTTTAAGTATTCTGATTCTTCACTCACTGTAAAGAAATATTAAAAAAGATTTGATAAAGATCTCTGTTTTAACTACAGAGCTAGTAATTACAAGAAGCTGAAGAAGAAAAGAAATTAAGAAAATATCTTCTCAAAGTATAACAATAAGTGCTCGCAGGCGATTATTCAGGTGTTTGCAGCTTGGTGTAATATATACTGTTAAATACTAGAAG